AACTAGTAATCCGATGTGATAGAAAAATGAGAACTGTACAAAGGTGTTTTGAATTCATTAGGTACTTGTTTGTATACTATATGATTTGGATGATTTATTTTTGTCACATTTTTATATTCTGAAAATAAATGATAAATAAAATTTAAAAATAATTCAAGAAAATTACCTTGGAGTAAAAAGCTCAGAACTTCAAATGTAATCCTGATTCTACCAATGGTTTTATGACTCTGAGCTACATGAAACTATCATCAGTCTATAACAATATGAGTGCATGGGTCGTTTTTAAATTATTAGCATACAATTTAAAACCTACTCCTAAGATTAGACCTATTGGATTAGATGAGATCTAATCTTAGATGTAGGTTTTAAATTGCATGATAAAAATTTTTTACAAAAATACTCACATTATTATCTTCGCAACTAATGATAATTTCAGTTTATCTGAAAACACATAATGGTTTATACACAAAGACAATGGAAATTTCAAGTCCTGTCTTTAATAATAGGCCATGTGATATACCAGAACAAAATAAAATAGCATGAAAAAAAAAAACCAGGTGATTTCATACCTTTGAGGAAAAATTTATGTATCCCTATATATCTAAACCAGTATATGAAAAAGGTAAATATTTCTCAAGTATGGCACTATGTGCTCAGTTAATTATAACTAGGGTTTTATTGTGAGTTTTTAATGTGTTTGATATAGTATTCAAAAAAGGAACCAAAACTCTCAACTATGCATGAACTATCTTATAACACTATATTTTTAAATAATATTAACATTTTTATTTTTAATTACTATGGGTACATAATAGTTACATATATTTATGGGGTACATGTGGTGTTTTGATACAGGCATACAATGTGAAATAATCAACTCAGGGTAAATGGGGTACCCATCATCTCAAATACGTATCATTTCTTTGTGTTAGAAACATTCCAATTCTAGTCTTTTAGTTATTTTAAAGTATATAATAGCCTATTTTTGACTATAGTCACCCTATTGTGCTATCAAATATTAGATATCATTCATTCAGTCTAACTATATTTTTGTACCCATTAAATATTGGCAAATTATCATCCTCCCCCCTCTCCTTCCCAGCCTCTGGTAATCATCATTCTATTCCCTACCTCCATGAGATTAATAGTTTTAAGTTTTAGCTCCCACATATGAGTGAAAACATGTGAAATTTTTCTTTACGTGTTTGGCTTATTTCACTTAACATAATGTTCTCCAGTTTGATCTATGTTGTTGCAAATGACAGGATTTCACTCTTTTATGGATGATTAATATTCTATTGCATATATGTACCATATTTTCTTTATTCACTCATTCATTCATTATTCATTGACGGACACTTAGGTTGATTCCAAGTCTAGGGTATTGTGAATAGTGCTGCAATAAAGATGGGAGTGTAGATACCTTTTCAATATACTGATTTCCTTTCCTTTGGTTATATACCTAGCAGTGGGATTACTGAGTCATATGATAGCTCTATTTTTAGTTTTTTGAGCAATCTGCATACTGTTCTCCATTTACATTCCCACGAGCAGTGTACCAGAGTTCTCCTTTCTCCACATCGTCGCCAGCATTTGTTACTGCCTTTTTGATAAAAACTATTTTAACTGGTGTGAGTTGGTATCTCCTTGTAGTATTGATTTACATTGTTTGATGACTAATGATGTTGAACATATTTTCATATGCCTGTTTGTCATTTATATGTCTTCCTTTGAGAAATGTCTACTCAGATCTTTTGCTCATTTTTCATTCAATTTTTGATTTTTTCCTATTGAGTTGTTTGAGCTCCTTATATATAATCCCTTGCCAGATGGTTAGTTTGCAAATATTATCTCCCATTCTGTGGGTTGCCTCTTCACTTCGTTGATTGTTTCCTTCACTTTGCAGAAGCTTTTGAGCTTGATATGATCCTAGTTGTCCATTGCTGCTTTGGTTGCCTGTGCCTCTGAGGCATTACTCAAGAAATCTATGCCCAGACCAATGCCCTGGGGGGTTTACCCAATGTTTTTTTATAGTAGTTTCAAAGTGTCAGGCTATAGATTTAAGTCTTTAATCCATTTTGATTTGATTTTTGTAATATGGTAAGAGATAGGGGCCCAGTTTCATTCTACATATGATTAATATCCCGTTCTTTAAGCACCATTTCCTGAAGAGACTGTCCTTTCCCCAATGTATTAATGTGTTCTTGGCAGCTTTGTCAAAAATGAGTTTGCTGTAGATGTGTGGATTTATTTTTGAGTTCTCCTTTCTGCTCCATTGGTCTATGTGTCTGATACTATGCTAGTGTCAAGCTGTTTAGGTTACTACCGCTCTGTAGTATAATTTGAAATCAAGTAATGTTATTCCTCCAGTTTGGTTCATTTTGCTCAGAATGGCTTAGGCTATTCTGGGTCCTTTGTGATTCCTGTAAATTTTAGGATTAATTTTTCTATTTCTGTGAAGAAAGTTGTTGGTATTTTGACAGGGATTGCATTGAATCTAGGATTACTTTGCTTAGTATGAACATTTTAACATTATTAACTCTTCCAATCAATGAATATGAATAGGTTTCTATTTGTTTGTGTCCTGTCATGTTAGTTGATTTCTGGTTGTTTTGTAGTCCTCTTTTTTCTTTCTTCCTTCCTTCCCTTCTTCCTTTGTATAAAAGTGATTTTTTTGTGGTAGTGTGTAATTTCTTACTTTTTCTGTGTGTATCAATTGTAGGTTTTTTGCTTTGAGGTTACCATGAGGCTTACAAATAACTTCTTATAACCAATTATTTTTAACTGATGATAATTCAACTCTGCTTACAAAAAACAAGCAATCAAAGAGAAAACTAAGAAAACCTCTATACTTTAACTCCATCTCCCCCTTTTTATTTCTATTTATATCTTTTTATACTATTTGTCTCTTAAAAGTTTTTGTAGTTATTGTTTTTGATACATTTTTCTTTTAGTCTTCCTACTCAAGATATGAGTGGTTTATACACCACAATTACAGTGATATTGTATTGTATATTTCTGTGTGCTTACTGTGAGTTTTTTTTGGCCTTCAAATGATTTCTTATTGTTTGTTAACAACTTTTTCTTTCAGATTGAAGAATTCTCTTTGGCATTTCTTGAAGGTTGGGTCTGGTGTTGAGGAAATCCCTCAGCTTTTGTTTGTCTGGGAAAGTATTTATGTCTCTTACACATTTGAAGGAAATTTTTGCAGGACATAATATTCTAGGATTAAAAAATTTGTTTCCTTCCACATTTTGAATATGTCATGCCACTCTCTCCTAGCCTGTAAGGTTTCCACTGAGAAGTCTGTTGCCAGAACATTGGAGCTCCTTTATATGTTTTTGGTTTTTTTTTTCTTTTCTCTTGATACTGTAAGGATCCTTTGTTTATCCTTGACCTTTGGGAGTTTGATTATTATATGCCTTGAAGTAGTCTTATTTAGGTTAAATCTGTTTGGTGCTGTATGACTTTCTTGTACCTAAATATTGACATATTTCTCTTGGTTTGGAAAGTCCTCTGTTGTTACTTCTTTAAATGAAATTTCTGTCCCAATTTCTCAACATACCTCCTCTTTCAGGCCAATAAATCAGATTTTCCCTTTTGAGGCTATTTTCTAGATCTTATAGGTGTGCTTTATTCCTTTTTTTCTTTTTCTTTCTGTGTATTTTTGTATAGCCATCTTAACAATCTCACTAATTCTTTTTTCTGCTTGATTAGTTCTGCTTTGAGAGACTCTGATGTACTTTCCAGTTTTTTTTTAATTGAATTTTTCACCTCCAGAATTTCTGCTTGATTTTATGATATTATTTCAATCTCTTTGTTAAACTTCTCTGATAGGAGGCTGGATTCCTTTTCTATGTTGCCTTTGACCTTGATGAGCTTCCACAAAACAGCTACTTTGAATTCTCTATCTCAAAGTTCACATATCTCCATCACTCCGGAATTGGTTACTGGTGTTTATTTCTTTTAATAGTTCATTTGGTGGGGTCTTGTTTTCCTGGATGTTGTTGATGCTTGTGAATGTTCACTGATGTCTGAGAATTGAAGAATTAGGTTTATAACAACCTTCACCATCTGGGCATGTTTGTACTCATCCTTCTTGAGAAGGCTATCCAGGTACTCCAAGGGAATTGAATATTGTGATCTAAGTCTCTGGTCACTGCAGCTGTATCAGCACTAGGGGTGCCCCAAGTACAGTAATGTTGCAACTCTTGCAGACTCCTAGTGGTACCATTTTGGTGGACTTGTGTAAAATACAAGAGAATTCCCTGAACTGCCAGGTGAAGTGTCTCACTCTCTTCCCTCACTTTCTCCACATAGAAGGAGTCTCACCCTCTGTGCTGGGCTGTCTGGAGTTGAGGGATGGGTGACATTAACACTTCCCCATAGCCACCACAGCTGGGACCATACCGGTCACACACACCCCGCCCCACTGAAGCCAGCACAGTCTCGCCCAAGGCCTGTGGAAACTACTGCCTGGCTATTGCTGGTGTTTACACAAGGCCCACGCACTCTTTAGTCAGCAACTGATAAATCCTGCCAGGACTGGGTCCTTCCCTTCAGGCAATAGGTTCCCTTCTGGCCAGGGTGGGTCTAGAAATGCCATACAGGAGCTAAGGCCTAGTAACAAGGAATTCAGGATCTAGTTGGAACTTTATTTTACTGTGGCTAAGCTGGTACCCAAGTTGCAATACAAAGCCCTCATTATTCTTCCCTTTCCTTTCCCCAAGTGGAATCAGTCTCTCCCAGAGCTGCACTGCCTGGAGTTGGGGAAGGGGTGAAGAAGGTACTCCCTCAGCTATCATAGCTGGTGTCCCACTGGGTCACATGCACCCCAAGTCCACTGGTTCAAAGCCCAGCACAGGCCCAGGACTTGCCCTAAAACTGTAGTCCTTGTGGCCTGACTACCTTTCAAATTTATTTTGGGCCCCAAGCCAGCGTAGTTAGCTGGTGTTGGAGCTATCCAGAGCTTAGGTTTCTACCAGTGGGGCGGAGGATTCCCCTCACTCAGGGTTGGTCTAAATGTTCCTTCCTTGGGCACTGACAGAATTCTGCTCTGTGTTGTGTTTCTCTGTGACACACCAGACCTATGTTCCAATGCATAGTCCCTAAATCACTTTACTCTCCCTCTCCCAAGCACACAGATTCTCAGATTCTCTCTTCACCCAGTGCTAGCATAGTGCTGCCACGGGGTGGGGAAGGGGTGACATAGAAAATGCAAAATTGCCTTTCCTGCCCTCTTCAGAGCCTCTTTCCTTGACGTGATGCTAACATCAGGTACTGTGACCACTCACCTGATTTTTGATTCTTATGGTTGTTCTTTCTTGCATAGATAGTTGTTCAATTTAGTGTTCCTGAGGGGGGATGATCACTGGAGGGTTATATTTGACCATCTTGGTCTGCCTCCACCTAAATATATTAAATATCATTAAAGAGTTATCTATAGTTTAAATAAACATAATATATTGAGGGCAAGAATAAAATATTTTGTCCTTAGATTTTAATTTAAATCAAAATGTATAGTTCGTGGTTTACACCACTGCTTATTTTCCATGTTTTTATTGATTTAATAAATAGAGATTCTAAATTATACTTTGAAGAGTTCTTTTTTCTCCTTTAACAAGATTTTCATTTCAGTACTTTTTATTTACCTTAATAATGTTAGTGCCCATGGAATTTATTAAATCTTATAAATTAGTATAAAAATGGATCAGCCCACAGTTCTGATATTGTATGAGCCTAACTTAACTGCCAGGTGTTCTGGGAGAAAAATACATTGGTATCACAATTCTTTTAGAACAGTTCAGAATAATTTATGTTTACTTTAACAAAGTAAGAGTAAGCTAGGATTGAAGTCTATCTTAGGATTTAAGTTTTATATTGGTGCTTTTATTCTCTCTGTGGACCATAAATTTATTTTTCTTTTCTGAAAAGAAACATTAAAAAAAGCAGTATCAGCATACACTAAAGTGAATAAACCAACAAAAAGCCCCAGCCTTTCATTGTCACACTCCTATTTTGTCTACTCAGCACTTTACTACATTCCTCAAGTAATGAAGAAAAATCAGTGTATTAATTACAAGACCACAAAGAATGTACAAACAAGAAGCTTTTCACTATTCCTCTAATGCTTTCTTCCAATTTGAAATAACTCTTCGGTCCTTTGGTTTCTCAAAGACATTACTAAATATTCAACAAAAAAATGCATGTACAGATGGTTTTACAGAATGGGTTAGCACATAAGCTGTACTCTTTACTAGCTGTGTACACTTGAGAAAGCTTCATAGTTTCACAGCTTCTCAGTTTTTTCGTCTGTAAAATGTAAATATTTTTTAAAGTACAGTTGACCCATGAACTACACGGGTAAGGGGTGCCAACCTTCTCCATAGATGAAAATCTGTGTATAACTTTTGACTCCTCAAAAACATAACTACTAATAGGCTCCTGTTGGCTGGAAGCCTTTGTGGATAATGTAAAAAGTCAATTAACACATATTTTATGTATATGTATTATATATTGTATTCTTACAATGAAGTCAGCTGGAGAAAAGAAAATGTTATTAATAAAATCATAAAGAAGAGGAAATACATTTATAGTGCTGTAGTGTATTTATCAATACCATAATTTTACATCATCTGTTCATAAGAGGAATCCTCTGGAATGTCAGGCAACCACAGGAAAAGATGTCAATTTAGGGTACGTACCAAGCAATTCAACTGTTTCTTGTAATGACATGACTTTTGTCTGCTGTTTGGGACCACTTCCAGCATCACTAATAGCACTTTGAGTGGGTACCATGATGTTAGGCAGGGAATATGGTATTGCACTAAACATGATTAAAAACACAGAAGAACCAAAAAGAGTTCATTTTTTTAAAAAATATTTTTTATGTAAAAATATTAGGAAGTACAAGTGTTCTTGTGACATGGAGGAATTGTATAATGCTGAAGTACAGGATTTTAGTGTGCACGTCACCAAAATAGTACAAATTGTACCCAATAGCTAAGTTTTTGCCCCTCACTTGTTTCCTGCCCTCCCCCATTCTTAGTTTCTAATGTTCTTACACCATTTTATGGCTAGGTGTACCCACTGTTTAGCTCACACTTATTAGTGAGAACAGATGGTGTTTGTTTCCCATTCTTGAGAAACTTCCAGATAATGTTCTCTAATTCCATCCAAGCTGCTGCAAATAACATTATTTCATTCTTTTTTATGGCTGAGTAGTACTCTGTAGTGTATATGTATATATGTATGTGATATATATACATCACATTTTCTTTATCCACACTTCAATTGATGGGCACTAGGGTTGATTCCATATTGTTGCAATTGTGAATTGTGCAGTGTTAAATATTCAGATACAGGTGTCTTTTTGATATAATGTTTTTGATATAATGACTTATTTTCCTTTGGGTAGATACCCTGTAGTAGGGTGTAGGATCAAATGATAGGTCTACTTTTAGTTCATTGATGCATCTCCATACTGTTTTCCATAGAGATTGTACTAAGTTAGAGTCCTACAGTGTCTATGTATTCCTTTTTCTCCCAAACCATACCAACATCTATTTTTTTTTTACTTTTTAATAATGGCTATTGATAGGGATAAGGTGGAATCTCATTGTAGTTTTAATTTGCATGTTCTTGATGATCAGTAATGTTGAGAATTTTTTCATATATCTGTTGGCCATTTGTATATGTTCTTTTGAAAAAGATCTCTTATTTTTTTTTATCTATTAATGTCTTTTGCCCACTTTTTAATGGGGTTATTTTTTTTTTTTTTGCTGATTTGTTTGAGTTCTTTGTAGATTCAGGATATTAGCCCTTTGTTTATGTATAGTTTGTAAATATTGTCTCCCATTCTGTCAGTTGTCTATTTACACTGTTGGTTATTTCCTTTGCTGTACAGACATTTTATAATTTAATTAAGTCCCATTTATGTATTTTTGTTGTTGCTATATTTGCCTTTGGGGTCTTAGTCAAAAATTCTTTGCCTAAGTCAATGTCTGGAACAGTTTTTCCTATGGATTCTTCTGGATTTATTATGGTTTCAGGTCTTACAATTAGGTCTTTAATTCATCTTGAATTGATTTTTGTATATGGTGAGAGATAGCGATAGTGTTTTATTCTTCTGCATGTGGCTGTCCAATTTTCTGAGTACCATTTATTGAGCATGGCTATTAATAATATCTATGTATTAATTTACACAGGTGCAAAGTTCCTCAATGCCAGCTTAAGTGTCAGAGCCAGATTTAATTTCAAGTCTCTTGATTCTAAATTCTTTACTATCTTCACACTACAATGATGTTTATACTGATAAACTTGATTCTTTGTGCCCCCATACCTCTTTTTATGTGTTCCTTTGCCTTGTTTCTGCTTCTACATAAACCATCATTCTTTATGGTAGTGACAAGTATTGTGGTGCCCAGTCTGCTCCATACAGATGCTGGCTTCAAGTATTACCCAGTCTCTGTTCATTCCTTCACTTCCTTCCATTCTTGGCAATGTGACAATGAGTCTAATGGATAACATGGTAAATTAACTACTATGAAAAAGGTAAATGTCAATGTAGAAATTGATTCAGAGCAATAAATCATTCTGATATTGAGGTTTTTAGTAGTAGGATTGTAGGTGGTTTTGGTCACCATGGTCTTTAGATGAATCTTGAATTGTTCTACAAAGGTAAAGGAGGCTTTCTAAATTTTGTTCAAGTCAGTGTATCTCCCTCCCTTTGCAAGTTAGAATTTCCCTATTCTTGCTGTTAGTCATCATAATCAGAGCTTACCTTTTCCATTCTCATCTTAATGTTTTTAATCATCCAAGGTACTTAACAGGTAGTGTGTAATCAAATCCAAACATGTATCTATGTAACAAAATGGAAAAAAAAAGACTATTATCTATTGAGCAAAGATGAAAACGTATAGCTCAGACTTATGGCATCATTGCCAACACTATAAGAAAACATAAAGTTTCTGATTCCTGGTATATTTTGATCATGCCAATTTGGCTATAAACAATGAATCATGGTAATTTACGAGCATCAAAGAGCAGACTGAACAGTTTTTCTAAAATATATACTTCCAATAACTCAATACAAAACAGCTTGTACATCTTTCAACAATCCTCTCCCTGTGGATTTCATTTATACCTGATAATCATTTGCTTTATCCCTGGTATTCTCTGGAGATTAAATGATAGAAAATATTAATGTATCTAGACTTTTAAACCAAGATAAAAAACTGTTGTCTCAAATTTTAGAACAAGTAAATGGCTAAGAGGATGAAACAGTGTCTAAAAGAATGAGTTCTAGACAAAAATACCTATGGCTATAAAGAGAGAAACAGATGGTGTGCTTTAGAATACTCCAAATAAAAAGGAAAGTACAATTCTGTATGGCTCTCTAAAACCTGGTCTTGAAACCCATAATACGCTGAACGCTCCTTGAATGGCTCATTTATCATTAGACTGTGAAACACTTAGGCTTCCCTGACAAGGTGAAGGTGGGTTTTTAAGTTATGTTGCTATTTTGACAAATTCTTGAGCTGAGTTGAAAGTAAGTTGTGTAAATTAAAGTTGATAAATATATAGAATAAAAAGTGCCAAATCAAAAGCAGTTGTCAGTGTTTCTTGCCTCCAGGACTCCCTGGCTTTCCCCTCCTGCTTTCCCTTATTGCTGCTGTCGCAGCTCCATCTGCTCCATCTGTTAGGGTCCACTTACCACTGTAGTGCTTGTTGACTTAACAAAAAGCATGCCAAATTAAGGACTTCCAATAAATGATTTTTCTACTCAAAATGTAAGGTAGGGCGACTTCCGGGGCCCCGCTCTTGGGGCCCCAGAACCTCGTCCATGAGTGTATAATAAAGCCACGTGGTTTGGCCCCCCACAAAAAAAAAAAAAAAAATGTAAGGTAATTTGTAGAGCCATCAAAGTGCAAATGTGTTTTAACTCATGTGTGTGTGTGTGTGTGTGTGTGTGTATGTGTATGTGTGTGTGGATATATTATTAGGCAATCCAGGAGGAGAAGTTGTGTGGCTTGTGAAAGAGTTGATGATGTCTTTTAAAAAATTGTTAATAAAACATTCACGTAAAAGACTGGAAAACAGGATAACTACTTAATAACTAACTTCTTTTTAATTGTGCTCACTTTCCTCACAATTTGTGTCTCAGAGGTAAACAAATGACTATGAGAAGACATCAATCCCAACTGCTGTTTGGGTAGAAAAATAAGTTGCTCTTTACACCTGCCTGAATTGATTTGCTGTAGTAATACATTGGGTATTTTTTTTTCAAACTATGTAATTACCTTTTTCCAAGTTTAGAGGAAAATAAAGAAGAATGCCTTCTTAAGACCAAAGAAATAAATATTATTACTAGGAGTAGAAGGAGTAGAAACTTTGCATCATGCAAAAATTATTGACCTTTAGGAATCAGGTCTTCTGAGCTCTGTCACTACCACAGTTACTTTCCTTTCGCAAGTATCAGTTCTCTGGGTCTCACTTTCCTAAACTGTAAAATGAGGGCTTTGGACTTAATCTCTAAAGTACTGTAAAATTCTAAAATTATTTTTACCTACCATTATGCAATTAAGTGTGATTCTTCAATTATGTTTTCATTATCACCCTGAAAACCAGCTTTTTTTCTGGAATTTCCCAAAGATAGGTTACAGACTTCATACTAATAGGGACAAAAGGAAGATAAGAAATTTGTTTTAGGCAAATGCAGGTTAAAATTAAGAAATTCCATTATGAATTGTCAACTCTAATTTCACTAAATTGTCAGCCTATTTGCTCATTAAAAATCAAAATGTTTAAAAATTCATGTACTAACAAAGTGAAGTGAGAGATAATTTACTGAATGCACAAGCAATGAACAAATTCCTATGTCAGTTCAATATGCAATTTGATTGTAGATTCAAAAAATTTTAGAGGTGAAGAGAATCCCAAAACTCTTTAATTTTACATATATGTAAATTGTTAGAGGAAGTGAATGACTTCTATTATTTTACAGTTTTATTGAGGTGTAATTCATATACACTAAACTGGTCACTTTATAGAGTACAATTTTATATTCTGACATATATGTTCATCTGTGAAAGTCTCACCAAATAAAGAAAAGCATCATATTCTTCACCCCTTAAAGACTTCCTGGTGCCAATTTATAATTCTTCTCTTCTACCTCTCCCTCCCTTTTTCTCCATCCCCTGGCAAGTGTTGACCTGATTTATGGTTCTGTATATTAGTTTGTATTTTCTATAATTTTATATAAATGGAAAGATACAGTATGTATCTTTATTTGCCTGGCTTTTTTTACTCAGCATATTTATTTTGAGATTCCTTAATGTTGTTACCATCTGGAAATAATCCTCCAGTGGATTTGCAGGTCTTGTTTTCTGCATGTCTGTGAGCAGAATCACTGACTGCCTTTGTTCTGGATTGTCTTAGAAGGATGTGTGTATAGAAAACAGACTTGGAAGATATAATATCTCCATCCAGAGCAAAGGGCAGATTTGTTTACTGTCCAGTATGATAAAGGTATTGTCTTCCTCCAGTGCAAAGGTTAAGCAGGCTTATTGCTCAATATAGAAGATTTGAGTCTCTAAGGTTGGGACCCTATCCTGTAACACATAAACTGTATGCACCCACTTCATACTTCCCTGTTGGAATTGGAGCTGAGGAAACCCATACTACCCTGGTTACTATTATCGTGCATAAGAATAATGCTCACTGCCCCATGACATCCATGTCCTCTGCCAGCATCCATGAAATTGTATCAGACTAACTTGTTAACTTGCAAATAGGGTGAAATCTCAGGTCCTTCATAGTTCTTGACAATTGTTTCATTATTTTTTTATAATTATTAATCCATTTTATGTGTATACCTCAATTTATTAATCCATTCATCACTTGATGGGTTAATGTCACTTAATGAATTATGCTGTTTCTGGTTGGGCTATTACAAACAAAACAAAATAAACAAAAACACTGTCATGAACATTCATGTGTAATATTTGTACAAATTATACATTCACTTCTTTTTAGTAAATACCTAGATGTTAAATGGCTGGGTAAGAATGAGATTTGTGGTTACTTGTGAAACTACCAAACAGTTTCACAAAGTGATTGTGAAATGTGATCATTTTACTTCCACCAACATTCTGTAAGTTTGCATCGCATTCTCACCAATACTTGGTTTAGTTGGTTTTTACATTTCAATCATCCTAATTGGTATACAATGGTATTTCATTATGCTTTTAATTTGCATTTGCCTATTTAAATCTTTTGCTCTTTTGAGTTGTTTATTTTATTATTGAGTTTTGAAAGCATTTTATATGTGCTGGAAACAAGACCATAATGAGACATGTAATTTACAATTATTTTCTCTCAGTCTGTGGTTTGTCTTTTTATACTTTCAAAACTCTCTTTGAAAAAGAATATTTTAATTTTGATGAGGTAAAACGTATCTTTTTTAAAATAGGTCATGATTCTAATGTTGTATGTAAGAAATCTTTGTCTTTTAAGGGCACAAAAGTTTCCATAGTTCTATGTTTTCTTTTATGTTTTGTAGTTCTATGTTTTGAATTTAAGTCTGTGATCTTTTGAGGTTAATATTTACGTATAGCACAAGGATTGGATAGAAGTTCTTTTATTCATTTTTTTTTTGTCAAAAAAGATATATTTATTGACTTGGTGAAATTCACACAATTAGGTAGCATCCAATTTTCAACTACCGTCAGATTATCCCATTAAATTTCCTATGGCTTTACCCCTGACTGAAAAAAATTTTTTTTTATGTTTATTTATTTATTTTTTATTTCAGCATATTATGGGGGTACAGATTTTAAGGTTTCAATAAATGCCCATTTCCCCCCTCCCCCTACAAGTCTGAGTTTCCAGCATGACCATCCCCCAGATGGTGCACAGCTCACTCATTATATATGTATATACCCGCCCCCTCCCCCCTCCCACCTGCCCAATACCCTATTACTGTAGTACCTATGTGACCACTTAGGTGCTGTTCAGTTAATACCAATTTGCTGGTGAGTATATGTGGTGCTTGTTTTTCCATTCTTGGGAAACTTCACTGAACAGTATGGATTCCAGCTCTAACCAGGAAAATATAAGATGTGCTATGTCACCATTGTTTCTTAGAGCTGAATAGTACTCCATGTTATACATATATCACATACGCTGGGGAAAATAATCCCTTTTCAATAAATGCTGCTGGGAAAACTGGATAGCCACCTGTAGAAGGCTAAAACAGGACCCACACCTTTCACCTCTCACAAAAATCAACTCACGCTGGATAACAGACTTAAATCTAAGATATGAAACCATTAGAATTCTAGAGGAAAAAGTTGGAAACACTCTCCTAGACATCGGCCTAGGCAAAGAGTTTATGAAGAAGTCCCCAAAGGCAATCAAAGCAGCAACAAAAATAAATAAATGGGACATGATCAAACTACAAAGCTTCTGCACAGCCAAAGAAATAGTCATGAAAGTAAACAGACAACCTACAGAATGGGAGAAAATTTTTGCATCCTATGCATCCGATAAAGGACTGATAACTAGCATATACTTAGAACTCACGCAAATCAGCAAGAAAAAAATCAAATAACCCTATTAAAAAGTGGGCAAAGGACTTGAACAGAAACTTTTCTAAAGAAGACAGAAGAATGGCCAACAAACATATGAAAAAATGCTCAACATCTCTAATCATCAGAGAAATGCAAATCAAAACCACAATGAGATATCACTTAACTCCAGTGAGAATGGCCTTTATCAAAAAGTCTCCAAACTATAAATGCTGGCGTGGTTGCGGAGAGAGAGGAACACTCCTACACTGCTGGTGGGACTGCAAACTAGTTCAACCTCTGTGGAAAGGAATATGGAGATACCTTAAAGCGATACAAGTGAATCTACCATTTGACCCAGCAATCCCATTTTTTATATAGATATCCAATTTTTCCAGTGTCATTTCTTGGAAAGACTATATTTTCACCCACCAATTGCCTTTGTACCTTTGTAAACAATGACCATATATGCATGTATGCATGTGTCTATTTCTGAACTCTTTATTTTATTGCACTGATTTATTTGCCTACTTATAATACTACATTGCCCATGTAGCTTTAAAATAAGTATTGAAATAAGGTAGTATTATCCTACCAACTTTTTTTTTCTTTTATAAGGTTGTTTTGGCACTTTTAGAGCCTTTATATTGCCACATAAAGTTTTTAATCACCTTGTCAATTTCTACCCTCCTCTCACACACAGAAGACCTGCTTGCTGTATTTTTTATTGTGATTACACTGAATTTACAGATCAATTTACCAAGGATTGATATCCAAAAAATATTGATTCTTACAATCCCAGAACATGGCTTGTCTGCCCATTATTTAAATATTATTTAATTTCTCTCAACAATGATTTATAGTTTCCAGTATATAGGCCTTATGCAGCTTTTGTCAAATTTACCTCCAAGTATTTCATATTATTGGCGCTATGGTAAATGGTATTCCTTTTGATTTCCAACTCTCCACTGCTAGTACATAGAAATAAAATTGATTATAGTATATATAAATAATGTATATATATAGCATATATATTCATATATAGAGAGAGAATATATATAGAATATAGTATATATATATAGTATATATATGAAAATAGTATATGTTAATCTTGCATTCTGCAATCCCCAAAATTCATTTATTAGTTCTGTAGCCAATCAGCTTAATCAGGGCTGTAGTTTCCATAGGATTTTCTATTTTCCCCTTCCAATCTGGATGTTCCTTATGTGTTCTTGCCTATTGCACTAATTGCAGCCTCTACTCTGTTGTTGAAAGAAGTGGTAAGGGGAAACATTCTTCCTTTTTTCATGATAATAAAGGGAAAGTAATCAATCTTTCACCATTAATTATGATGCAAGTTGTAGAATTTTTATAGATGTTTTTCACCAAGATTAGGATGTTCTCTCTGATTCCTAGTTTCCTGATTTGTTTTTAATTTTTTTACTTTACTGGGCTTCGGTTTGCTTTATTGCTTAGCAAAGTATTACAGACATTTTCCACATTAGTTTTCACTGATCAACTTTATTCTTTTTTTTTTTTTTTTTTTTTAAGACAGAGTCTCGCTTGTTGCCCAGGCTATAGTGAGTGCCGTGGCATCAGCCTAGCTCACAGCAACCTCAAACTCCTGGGCTCAAGTAATCCTTCTGCCTCAGCCTCCCGAGTAGCTGGGACTACAGGCATTGCCACCATGCCCGGCTAATTTTATATATACTACTATATATTGGCCAACTAATATGTATATATTAGTTGGCCAATTAATTTCTTTCTATTTATAGTATAGACAGAGTCTCGCTCAGGCTGGTTTCGAACTCCTGACCTCAAGCAATCCGCCCGCCTCGGCCTCCCAGAGTGCTAGGATTACAGGCGTGAGCCACCGCACCCGGCCAACTTTATTCTTTTTAATGCCATTGTATGGAGATACCATATTTATGTAACCCTTCTCCCATTAATGGATGTACAAGACGATTTCCAAACATCCATAATTAGAGAAATTTTTATAAATGTATCCTTAAATACTCGAAAAGTGATTCTATAACATTTAACATAAGCATCATTTAGTACAATAATAGGAAATGTTATCCAGGCTACATTTAGAAAATAATC